GCAGGCATACACACAGAAAGAATATTGTATACATAATAAATATATAAATAATTTAAAAAAAAAATTAAAAAAAAAAAACAAAAAAAACAGGCGTGTACCATTCATCTTTCAGGGTGACTGTCCTTTTCGCACAGTTCAGGACCCTCTAGGCATGAGAAGGCATGGAGTTCCAGGCCAGCCTGGGTTACACATAAGAGACCCTGTTGCTGGGCAGTGGTGATGCACCCGCATTTAAGCCCAGGAGAGGTAGGTGGATTTCTGAGTTCAAGGACAGCCAGGGCTACATGTGGAAACTCTGTCTCGGAAAGCCAAAATGAAAGCAACTGAGAGAAGGACCCGGTATTCAGAAAACAAACAAAAAGCAGAGAGCCGGTGAGATGGTTCAGCTCCTAAATGTTAGTTTTGGTCCCTGGTCCCTTTAAGAGACAAGCCACACCCACTTCCTCCCCCATCTGCTGAGGCAGGCTGATCTTCAGCTTCCGGCCTGAGCTTGCTCTCTATTCCATCTTCCTTTCAGAGAGACACCTTCAGTTCTTCCTCTCTCCCCATTTCTCCTCTTCCCACTTGTCTCTCCTCTCTCTCCCCTTTCTCTCCCCCTTCTCTCTCTCTCTCTCTCTCTCTCTCTCTCTCTCTCTCTCTCTCTCTCTCTCGCCTTCTCCCTTCCCCCTTCATAGCCCCCTGAATAAATATTCAACCTCACTCTGCAAGTCGTGTCTATCCATGTCTCTGTCTCCTGCTCACTCGCCATGTGTCTCCCTGCCTGGGACCAGCCACTGCTCAGGGACCAGCAGCCATCTCTGCCTGGGACTGGCTGCTCCCAGGGCCCGCTGTCTGCTGCCACATGGCCCGCTACCACCATTTGGGACCTACAGCATTTCTGTTGCCTACTGCCGCCGGGGATCTTGCAGCATTTTTTTAAAAATTATAAAACTAAAGACACTTGCTCCTAAGCCCAATGCTGAGTTTTTACCCTGGGATCCACAAGGTGAAAGGAGACTCCAGAACTCTTGATTTTCAAGACAGTTTTAAAACACTAGGTTTTCCTCTTCCCCTAGACTCATTCTCTTAATGTTTCCTTTCCATCCCACCTTACCCTCCCCTCCCCCATTTCATCTCCCCTGCCTTGGTTTCCCCCTTTCACTCGGCCTGTCTGCTCCTGCTTGGTCCCCTCTCCCATTCCAGCTGAGTGGTGCTATGTTTTCTGCCACTGGCCCTCGGGGATTTAGGGCTGTAATTCTTCCTTCACAGGCCTTCGGAGCATTGTGTGCCTCAATGTTCCACACTTATTCCAAAATCCCTACCCTGATACTTGTCAGGGGCCCCCAAGATGGCGCCTACTGCTTCTTCCCCACTCTTTGAAAACTGTCTTCTGACTTTGGCACATTCCATGACATGTTTGTACTTGTGTGTGTGCACACACACACAAACCTAAATATAAAAATATGGTGGAGAGTGACGGAGGAAGATGTTCGTTGTCTATATTTGAATTCCAAATTTGGACACCAACGTTTTCTGGAAGCCCCTCCTTGAATCCATGGTCAGGGGAGCCATCAGAGGTGCATTTGGTCAAACTCTGTCCCTGATTTCTCAGATGAGAAAACAGTCTCAGAGTTGGGTCATTTCCCCATCTAAAGCCAAAACACTAGGGAACTGAACACAGAACCAGATAAAGTTTGTCTAGCTCTTCAGTTGCCCTTCTGGTGGTGTCTAACTGGGTGCCCTGACTTCTTACTAGACTCCTAACAGCAGGCACACATGTTTAAACTGGGCTGCTTGGCTTGAATGCTGGCCCTGGACTTCCTTAGTTTTGACTTTGGGCTAAACAACTCCACTGTGTCTCAGTTTTTCCCTGGGACAAAGAATGGCAGTCTTTGTCCCAAGGTTGTGAAGCGCTAAGTAAATACTGCTATATGGACAGCATTATTTTTTGAGATAGGGTCTCTATGTAGCCCTGGCTGCCCTGGAACTCTATGTAGACCAGGCTAGCCTCAAGGCTGGCCTTCTGCCTGTTGGGATTAAAGGTGTGCAACACTATGACTGGCTTGAGAAATTAGTTTTTAATGTATTAGACTCTGGAAGTAGCGAATTCAGCTGACACCTGAGTGCGTTAGGTGACTCTCGGGGCTCTGCCCAGTGCCCTCCATGCATTATTTAATTCCGTGATCGACACTGTGAGGGAGAAACAACTACCCTGAGGTACGAAGAAACAGAGGCCCAGAGAAATGTGTCCAAGTTCCCATAGGAAGGCCCCAGGAGAGGATTTCCCGCCTATACTCAATTCCCTAGTGGGTGGATTGTTTGTGGCCATAAGGTAAATGGTTCACTTCAAGAAGAGTAAAGGGCCAGGCGGTGGTGCATGCCTTTAATCCCAGCACTTGGGAGGCAGAGGCAGGTGGATCTCTGAGTTCAAAGCAAGCCTGGTCTACAAGAGCTAGTTCTAGTCAGGCACCAAAGCTACAGAGAAACCTGCTTCGGAGAAAAAAAAAAAAAAGACACTTAGGAAATGTCCAGCATCCTTAGTCATCAGAGAAAGGCAAATCAAAACAACCTGTAAGAATGGCCAAGATCAAAAACACTGATGACAACTTATGCGGAAAGGTTGTGGGGAAAAGGGAACACTTCTGCATTGCTGGTGGGAGTGCAAGCTGGTACAACCCCTTTGGATGTCAGTGTGGAGATTTCTCAGAAAATTAGGAAACAACCTTCCTCAAGACCCAGTAATACCACTTTTGTGTATATATCCAAAGGATGCTCAATCATGCCACAAGGACACGTGCTCAACTATGTTCATAGTAGTTTTGTTTGTCATAGACAGAACCTAGAAACAACCTAGATGTCCCTCGACCAAAGAATAGACATTTACACAATGGAGTACTATACAACAGAAAAAATAATGACATCTTGAATTTTGCAGGAAAATGGATGTATCTAGAAAACATTATTTTGAGTGAGGTAACCCAGACAGACACAGAAAGACAATTATCACATGTACTCACTCATAGGTGGTTTTTAAACATAAAGCAAAGAAAGCCAGCCTACAAACCACAATTCCAGAGAACTAAGACTTACATAGATATAATCTACATGGGAAGTAGAAAAAGACAAGATCTCCTGAGTAATTGGGAGCATGGGGACCTTGGGGGAGGGTTGAAGGGGAGGGGGGACAGAGAAAAATATAGAGCTCAATAAAAATCAAAAGAAAAAAAGAGCAAAAGATAGGGTTGGGGTACGAATGGAGGAAGAGGGCAGGGTTGCAGATTTTAAAAATAAAAGATAAAGATGAGTAAAGCAGTTGGTGGGGTCTGGTTAGCTCTAAGGTTAGGGCCTAGCTGCTATCTACTGTAGTCTGGGTTTGCCCTTGGGTGAAGTCACCTGCATAGGAGCCAAAGTACAAACAAGCCTGGCTCAACCTTGGGCAGATTCTGTGCTCTTGAATACGTTCCTGCCGAGGCTTCCTTTTTTTTTTTTAAGATTTATTTATTATGTATACAGTGTTCTACATGCCTGCAGTCTGGAAGAGGGCACCAGATCTCATCTTGGATGGTTGTGGGCCACCATGTGGTTGCTGGGAATTGAACTCAGGACCTTTGGAAGAGCAGCTAATGCTCTTAACCTCTGAGCCTTCTCTCTGCCCCCCTTGCTGAGGCTTTCTCTCCCCCCCCCTTGAGATTCCAGCTTAGTTTCTCAGGCTCCTCTCTATAAACTTGCTTGGCTATCTCAGTTTAATTTGGACTGACAAGGTATTGTCCCTGCAAAGGAAGCTGAGGCCTGGTCAGACATTCTGGTGGTAGCAATGGATTGGGACTTTTGGGACAGATTGTGTCTAGAGAAGGAGGATGGTGAGGTACCTGGATCAGCAAAGACCTAGAGGCATGGGTACTGGCCGTAAGCTTGGTTGGAGCAGAGTTAAGGAATCTGTGTTAGCCCTAATAGGATGAAGAGGCATATATGAAATCGGTCCTTTAGGGTCAGGTGTAGGTGTCACATGTCTGCTAGGCATGTCCCACATAGTCAGAGCTCACCATGCCAGGCCTGGTATAGTCTGAGTTGCCACGTGCCAACTGTGTGTGCGAGGCATGTGGTCACATGTGCTGGGGGCTGCACGTGAGAGTGTCAGTGTCTCCTCCCCATCACGAGCATGGGGGTGGTGGTGAGTCACGGGCTCAGCCTTCAGCACCAACTGTCATGTTCCTTCCCCCCAAATTTCACCCCCCCCACACACACACCCAGCCATGCACAACCACCCCCACTTGAAAATCTATGTTGATTGTCATCCCCCTGCCCTTCTGGGCACCCTCAGAGAGACAGCAGAACTCCCTGACGGAGAGGGCTTCTCTCAGCTCTGCCCTCCAGTTTCCTGCCATTTTGTCATCCCCTTCCCACTGGCTCACTGCTCAGGTGATGAGAAGATGAAGGTCTCTTCTCCCTTCCCACTCGTCTCTGGGTCCCCAGGAGTTCTCGGTGCATAATGGAGAATTCCCATCCTCCCCCCTTTAACACCCGCAGCCTGTTTTCAGAGGCTATCCAGTTACATTTCCACCAGCTAGCCATGCCTGCCTCAGTGGGCCTCTTGTGGGTCTCCTGTGCCCATGGGACTGTCCCCTGACTCGGTAACCTCTCCTTGCACTCTGGGCTCTGTATGCTTCCTGGTTGCCCCTTCTGTGTATGGCTCCCTATCCCGAGGAGTCTTTCTGTGTCTGTCCCTCTGTCTTTGGCCTCTCCCCACCTTCAGACACCCCTGTGTCCCTAAACTGCTCGCTTATCCTCAAGTGGCTTGCTTTTTTATGCCTGGGCTTTTTCCCTGTCCTTGGCCTTGTGAGTTTGTGGGCCTTGACCCACCTCTCTGTTTCTCTGCATTTTTCTCCATCTGTAGTCCTCTCTCCCCACCTCTAGGCCCTTCGCTCAGTTCTTCCCACCAATGCCTCTCATCTTCATGGGCTCCAGTACCCAGGACTGCCTGGGCAGGGCGGTGGCATGGTGTGGTTGGAAGGGGTGGCCCCGGGGGTGGGCCCTTCTTCCAATGCAGCTTGCTTTTCTCATCAGCATTCTCCTCGCAGGGCCCCCCAGCCCCGACCAATACGATCTCCCCCTCCCCTACTCCCCTCCCTCCTTGCTCCCTGCCTACCTCCCTCCCTTCCTCCAGTCCGCCCTCCTCCCTGCCTCCCTCCCTCCATCTCTCCCCTCCACCACCACCACCACCACCACCCCCCGCGCTCCAGGACCCAGCGCGGGCGGGCAGGCGGCGGCCTAGGAGGGGAGAAGGAGCGGTGGCGGCAGCGGTAGTAGCGGCCGGCCGGCAGCAGGGAGGCAAGCCCGGCTGGGGACACGGAGCCGCCGGCGGCTGCTGCTCACAGGGAACCAGAGTCCGCGGCCAGGCCCTCCCACCGAGAGAGGGCCGCCCCCGGGACACCCCACCCTCCTCCGCCTTCCCGTTCCACCTGCTTCTCTCCATCCTCTCCTCCCACCTCGTCCCTCCACCTCGTCTGCCCCCTTCTTGGTCTGTCCAAGGCTGCCAGTTACCCTGTCCTCGCCAGCCCGGTCACTGCTCGGCCTCTCCTGGCCCCCAAGCATGCTTTTCCCCTGGGGACTGAGGGCTTGAGGACTCCAGGCCCTAGCTTCATCCAGGGCAGGGCCAAGGCTCTGGGGGGAGGGGGGGAAGGGGGCGGCCCCCTCCCCCCCAGCAGGCCCTCCCCTCCCCCACTTCTCCCGATGGCCGGCTTTCTTTTCTCCACCCAGTCCTCACCCCCTGTGCCCCCCCCAGGCCGGCCCGGCTAGGGGAGGGGGCGGGGGCCCTTTCCTGGGCCGGCTTCCCCCTCCCCCGGCTTTGCCTGTGCCCCCCTCCCTTCCGTTTTCACCTTCCTCTCCTCCTTTCCTCCCTCCTTCCCCTCCGTTTGCTCCTTCCCCCTCTCCTCTCTCCCCTTCTCTCCTCCATTTTCTCCTTTCCCCTTCCTCCCCTCCTGGCCCGCCCTTTGCTTTTCCACCTGTCCTTCCTCCCCGCTGCTGGGGAGACATCGTTTTGGATTAGTTGGAGGCCACCACCGGCGGCGGGGGAGGGGGCCCAGTGGACTGCCCTCTCCCCCGGCCCCAGCCTCACCAGCACCCAGAATCGGAGCATCTCCTGGTTGTGGTTCTTCGGGCCTCGAGGGAGCCCAGCCCTCCGTCCCACCAGGATCCGTAAGTGTCTGCAGGGCGGGGATTGGGCTGGGTCCTGGGTCCTGGAAGGCCAGACTAGCCCGGCTGGCAGGGCCCCCACAGTCCCTGCTCCCCGTGGATGGCAAGGAACCTACTCCCCCACTGCTTTGTGCCCTCCCTCTCAACGTCTCATTCTCCACGACCTTTTCTCACCCTTACTTCTGGGCACACACCTCACACCTGCCCTCAGTCCCAGCTTCCCCCGGTCCTGTGGGCTGACAGGCTCCGTGATATCGCTCCTCATAGGGACTCTTGGCTTGTTCGTTCTCCAAGCTTTGGGTCCCAGACCCACACTGGCTCCTGACTTGTGCGTTGATTTCCTCTCTCCCTCTCCTCTTTCTCTGCCTTACCGTAGGCCCCATCCCATTCACCTCTTGTCTCCTGGAAATGCCTTTGCGTTTTCAAGTCTGCATTTCACCTATCTCCCGGGCCTGTCCAACTGTGCCCAACTTCTCTGTTCTCTCCTCTCCTAACCGTGTCTCTGTAGGAGATGCTAGTTCTCATCCAGCCTTCTTCCCACTCTGTCTTTCCATTCTTTGCCTGATCCTCTCCACCTCCAGGCTTCACCTCTCACTTTTCAGCTTCCCTCCTCCAGACCCACTCTGGGTCCCCAGTCTTCCCCTCTGTAGCTGTCCCCATCCACTGCTCTCTCCTCTGTTCCCTGGCTTCTGCCCTGGTTCTTCCACCCACCTTCCAGTTGCTCTCCCCACTTCTGAACCACACTACCTCCCAGGACCCCTTGACTGAGGGCACTGGGATCCTCAGCACTCCTGGAGAGTTTCTGCATCTGTGCGGGCTGCTCTGCCCTTCCAGGGCATTCAGTTCCCCTCAGTTCCCCTCCCTAGCTTGTGTGGACAGCTCTCTCCCTGTGTGCTTCTTCCACATGCCTTTTCATTCTTGCTTCTGCCCCTCTGGCCTCGGCGGCTTTAGGCTGCTGTGCAGTTCATCCCTTGCTCACACTCTGTGTGTCTGTGTCTGTCTGTGTCTGTCTGTGTCTTTTGGCAGTTTCTTATTTCTTTCTTTGCTCCCCATGGTTCTTTCTGTTAGTTTGTTCTGCTTTTAGAGACAGGGTTTCTTATAGCACAGGCTAGCCTTGAACTCACTATGTAGCTGAGGCTGGGTTTGAACTCCTGATCCCCCTGCCTCTGCCTGCTGATTGTTGGTATTACAGGTGTGTGACACCACGCCCTGCTCTCCCCATGGGTCTCATACTTGTTGTTATTCTTCTTTTGGCCCTCTCTCTTCTCCTCCTAAGCTCCTGTCCTTTGCATGTATCTCCCCTTGCTGATGTCTCTCCTCCAACCTGTAGGGCCTGGCTGCCCCCACTCCTCAGCTCCCCCAGTTGACTCTGTTTCCATCTGTACCTGCCTGACCTGAGCTGGGTGTGCAAGTCCTGGGCCTGGCTGACCCCTGCTCCTTCTTGTGTTCTTCATCTGCTCCTTTGCTGTGTCTTTGTTTGTTTTTGAGACAGGGTCTAACTCTAACCCAAGATGTCCAGGGATTCCCTATGCAACCTAGAGTAGCCTCAAGCTCACAGTGATCCCACTGCCCCCAGAGTGCAGGAATTGCATCTTGGGGTGGATGCCTTACTTAGTGTCTGTCTGTCCTTTCTTCCCACTTAGCTATAGTCTCCGCTTTGGGGCTACCTTTCTGTGTGTTCTTTCCAGGACCTCTGTGTTTGTTTGCAACGTATAGTCTGTGCACAGTGCCTGTGTCCTTCTGTTCCCATCAGTGTCTGCCACCTGTGGGTCCCTGCTTTTCTGCCCAGTCTCAGGCTTTTTGTCTGTAGTCCCCAATCTCCACTTGTTCCAGATGTCCCAGGATGAACCCCCTTCCCTCCTGCCCTTCCCCTTGAGAACTCTCCTTCCAGCTCTCCCAGAATTCCTTGCTCCTCTGTCCTGGTCAAGTCCCCACATTAGCTCTAAATTGCAGTCTGCAGCCACCAGTCTGTTGAACATGCCCCCATCCCTCAAGCTCTCCTTATCAAAGACTGAGGGGTGGCGGGGAGGACTTTCTCAAGGTCACCCAGGAAGTAGGGACAAGTGTGGAACTGACAAGGCAACCTTTCTCTTTGGCCTGGACTGTTTTGGCTATAGAAGTCAATTCCAAACCTTGCTTGGGACTCTGCCCTTCCCCAGTACTTCCTTCTGGCTTGTCACCAGCTGAGGTCTTTCCATGGGTCCAGGTGGGATGCAGGGGGACACTAAATATACTTTGCAGTGCTCCGGGTCCTACAATAGCCCTCTAGTCTTGGAGCATGGTCTGCGACCAGGTCCAAGGATCCATGTACACATCTGGCAAAACACTCCTGCCCGGCGCTTACACTTCCAAAGGTCTGGAGTGCCCAGAGCAAACCCAAACTCTCTGAGACTGACTCTGTGAAGACATGTACCGTACCTGTCTGCCAGTACAGGATGTAGGCAATGAGTTCCAGCTTTCCTTCCTCTCTGTGGGACTCTTGCTGGTTGCTTGAGTCAGTGTGTGCCTGTCCCTGTGTTCTCTGTCTTTCTCTTCCAGTTTCTCGCCTATCCCCATGTACTGGTGTCCCCTTATTTGGTCTGCCCTTTCCCCTTCCTCAGTCTCTGTCCTTTATTTCACATCTTCCTGTCCCTTCTCTTTCTCTCTCTCTCCCAGTCCTGTCTATAACTTCCTTCAACTCGCCTTATCTGTTTCTTTCCAATTTTAGCTGTTTCTGTCATCTTTCTGTTCTCTCATATGTATCTGCCTGTTTTCCCCTTTTCTCATTTTCTGAGTCTCTGCATCTTTCATTTTGCAGTTTCTCATCAGATACTTTTTTTTTATTTCTGTATTCTCTTTTTAGGTTCTTTGCTACGTGGAGTTCCTCCCTCTGTTCCCCCTTCCCCCTCACCAAGTTTCCTAATTCCAAGATAATATCACTTATCAGACCCTGGGTGCCCAGGCCTCTCCCCCAGGGGATTGTGGGAACCAGGGACATCAGGAAGGTGGCAAGTGAGGCTTGGGATGGAGTTGCCTAGCAACCACTGCATCCTCTCCAGCCAGTTTCTGTTGCCTAGTAACGGTTGCCTGCCCAGAGACAGGGGCGGGACTGGGGTGATGGTGGTACCTCCCAGTTTCCTGTTGGGGTGGGGCTGATCCCCAGAATCACTGCTACTTCAAATTTCTAGCAATAGCTGTCTTATCAGTGACCTCTGACCTTTCCATCTTCCGGAGCTCAGTTCTATGAGCTTGGTATCCCAGTGAGCCAGGCCTTTTCAGAACTGGGCATTCCTCCCCAGTGATGTCTGGGAGGAATATGCTTGCCACCTCATCCAGCAGCTTTCCTAAAAATCTCTGCCCCCACATCAGCCATCTCCCTTGGGGCTGGGGGGTCTCTCTGCAGGTGGCAAGTGGGGGCCGCGGCAGCTGCGTCCCCATGAGGAGAAGAGGAAGATGCCGGCTGAGCTGCTGCTGCTGCTGATAGTTGCCTTCGCCAACCCCAGCTGCCAGGTGCTGTCATCACTGCGCATGGGTGAGGCCCCAGCACCCCACCTCCTCAGAAACTCTCCCTCCAGGTCCCTCCAGGGAACTCAGGCATAAGTAACACCAAAGTGCTATGTCTCCTAGCTTACCCTTCCCTGAGATCCAGGAGCCCAGATACCCTGCTATGCAGCCTCAGATCCAGGAATCCAGACCCTTCATACCTCTATATTCCTTCAATTTAGAGGCCACAAATCCAAGACCCCACGAGATACCCTTTCTCGGGGGCCCCAGGACTCTGGCCCCTCCCAACTCCTGTCTCCTCTCAGCTGCAATCCTGGACGACCAGACCGTGTGTGGCCGTGGTGAGCGTCTGGCCCTGGCCCTGGCCCGGGAACAAATCAACGGGATCATCGAGGTCCCAGCCAAGGCCCGAGTGGAAGTTGACATCTTTGAGCTGCAGCGGGACAGCCAGTACGAGACCACGGACACCAGTGAGCGGGGCCACGGGGGCGTGGGGTGAGGCAGGGCAGGTTGGGCCTCGGCCAGTCACTCCACCCCTGGCCTCCTCAGCTCAACTTTACACTCATCTGCTCACACCTGCTATCCTTCCTTCATGCCTGTTTCTGTCTCACGGAGTGGATGCTGCTGGGTTGGGAGGTCCAGGCACTAAGGCCTGGGGCTTTCAAGATCCCTGGTGGGTCAGGAAGGGCATTCTGGAACAGGTGGGCAGGAGGTGGAGTGTGGCGCCGTTCCAGCACAGCTGCAGAGCTGGCTTGCCCTGTGGGAGGGCTTGCAGAGGTGTCTGTTGGTGCTCATGGTCCTAGTAAGCGGTAGTGCCTGATACCCTAGTCTGCTGTTGGCCGCTAGGATAAAACACTCACCAAAACCACCGTGGGGAGAAAAGGGTTCACTTTAGTTTGCAGGTTAGAGAGTCCATCCTGGAGGGAAGCCAGGGCAGAACCTCAAGGAATCTGCAGGCAGGAACTGAGGCAGAGACCATGGAGGAATGCTGCTTAATGGCTTGCTCCTCCCAGCTTCCTCAGATACCCCCATGACCCCCAGGGATAGCACCACCCACAGTGGGCTGAGCCCTCCCACTTCAATCACTAATGAAGAAAACACCCCATAGACTGGCCTACAGACCAATCTGATAGAAAGAGTTCCTCAAGTGAGGCTCCCTCTTCCCAGGTGACTGTAGTTTCTGTCAAGTTGACAAAACTTACCAGAGCACTTGCCCCAGCTACACTGGGACCATCCTAGCTCTTTGCAACCTTCTGTATCAGGACTCGTTTTATGCTGGGCCTGGTGGCTCACCCCTGTAGTCCCAGTACTTGGAAAGCTGAGGCAGGAGAGTCATGGTGAACTTTAAGCCAATCTTAAATCTTGGCTACAGAGTGAGTTTCAGGCCAGCATGATCTATAGAGGAAGATCCTGCCTGAAAAACTAAACCAAACCCAAACTCTGCTTAGCATCCATAATACACGGGTTTGGGGCTAGAGAGATGACTCAGTGGTCAAGAGCACTGTCTGTTCCGAGTTCAGTTCCAAGGACCCACATGGCAGCTCACAACTGTCGCTAACTCCAGTTCCAGGAGATATGACACTCTCACACATACATTCAGACAAGATGCCAATGCACATAAAATAAAAATATATATTAAAGGGAGCTGGAGAGATGGCTCAGCGGTTAAGAGCACTGCCTGCTCATCCAAAGGTCCTGAGTTCAATTCCCAGCAACCACATGGTGGCTCACAACCATCTGAAATGAGGTCTGGTGCCCTCTTCTGGCCTTCAGGCATACACGCAGAAAGAATATTATATACATAATAAATAAATAAATAAATAAAAAACAAAACAAAAAATATATATTAAAAAATAAATGGAACAAACTAAAAAATAATAATACATGGGTTTTACTCCAAGCACAACAGATAAACAAGCATGTAAACCTCCCCCCAGGCCTTACATGGGCTATGTTAGTTAGATCTTGGGTGTTTCATCACTGAGAGGGAGAATGGGATAGACTCTTCAGGCCTTTTGTACTGGCGCGTCATCGACACGGTCTGGGAGAAGCAGAGGTGGAGACTGAAGAGGCAGATGGGAGAACAGGCATGCATTTAGGGTTGAGCCAAGGAACAAGGTGTAGGGTGAGACCATCTTAGCCAACTGGAGTCAGTGTGTGTTTGAGCAGATCCTGAAAATGAAGCCACGTCAAAGGAAATCGGCACCCAGAGTTAAAGAGCGATTGTTGGCATGTTTGTAGAATAGTTGGATCCAGCCATTCCTGACAGAATCCTGGGGATCAGGAGCTCCTAGGTGTAGCCACGTCTGAAATCAGTTTGTAACCTTTTAGCGGTGTGATCTCATTTATATTCTCATCCTTTCTGTCACTGACTTCTCTCCATTACCCCCATGGCCTCATACATTCCTAGGCAAGTCTTCTAACATGACGTCTAGCCCCAGCCAATACTGTTCTCTTAACCCATCCTGAGTTTCTGCCATGGCTGCCTTAAGGCATCTAAACAGGACATCACATCTCGACCCAAACTTGTTCCTTCTGTGTCCCCACCATGTGCACAGACCACGTGCCTGAAAATGGTCCTTTCTTTCCATTCTCTCTTAAGAGCTATTAGTCTTGACTCTTACTTATCTCCCGATTCTTTTCCTGATCATCTCCCAGCCATCCTCTGTACCCCTGCCCTACTTCAGCATGGCCAACTTAGGCTTGTACCACCTGCCTCATTCCCCACACAGAGCCGGGTTCGAGTGCTAGCTTCACCCACCAGGAGGGTACTGTGGGTAGTAGAGTGACTGAAGAGCTTGCATGGCAGAGGAAGCCAGCTCCTGATTTGCACTTCAGAAGGAGGCCCACAGAGCTGAGCATGGTCAGGCCTGGAGGCCCAAGCAGGAGGAATCTGAGTTCAAGGCCAAACAGCTTGTTTACATAGCTGTTGTGGTCCAGGGCCAGCCTAAATTATTTCTTCGGCTAGTGTGCAGGCGTGGGAATAAAGACACAGCTCACATGACTTTATCGGGAGGGAGATTTTAGGGATCCCTCTTACAAAGCTTATCCTACAGCAGTTTTATGGAAGAATGGTCTGCTTTTTATGACTACACCTTCCCGTTTTTGCCAGTTAAGATATTAAACTCTTAATTTAAAACAGTAGTTTATTTAATACAGAAGAGCAGGATGGAATCTAGGAGACGTTTTAGCACATAGCAAGATTCAAGACAGCTTGGGCTGTAAAAGTGAGACCTTGCCTCAACACATACACACAAACACACACACCCAGAAACACACAAGCACCTGTCCCATGGTGTCCACATGCTTTCCTGTGTTACTCTTGGCTTGGTCTGTATCTCTCTGCCTCCCTCTGTCTGAGGGACTGGTCCCCTGGAATCCAGACTGGTGGAGGAGGATCCCACAACTCTGAGCCTCTGGGGTCTTCTCCTGAACCAGGTGGGGTGGTTCTCTTGTGGGTGGGGCGGGAACAAAAGCAGAGGGGCAGAGGGTCCCTGACTCTGGTCTCTTCCCCTCACAGTGTGTCAGATACTGCCCAAGGGGGTCGTGTCTGTCCTGGGACCCTCCTCCAGCCCAGCTTCTGCCTCCACCGTGAGCCATATCTGTGGGGAGAAGGAGGTGAGGTGGGGAGTGGGAGCTGGGGGCTGGGGTGTGGGGCTATGATCCCTGGCAAGCAATACCTCCCTTTCTGTCCAGATTCCCCACATCAAGGTGGGTCCTGAGGAGACGCCCCGCCTTCAGTACCTTCGCTTCGCATCTGTCAGCCTGTACCCCAGTAATGAGGACGTCAGCCTGGCCGTCTCCCGAATCCTCAAGTCTTTTAACTACCCCTCGGCTAGCCTCATCTGCGCCAAGGCTGAGTGTGAGGGAGAACTGGCTGTTCTGTTTACATTCCCTCTAGACACCCCTTTCTAAAGCCCTAATGTCCCACACAGTTTCCTGGTTCCACCAGGCACCTTCTTAGTTCCCATTGTCTCTTTCCCCTTTAGGAACTGGGGCACAGGTTCCATAGAACCCCTCTTGTCCCAGAGTGACCCGTGTGATTCACTGATGGTGAACCCTTTTTGTCCAGCTCTCACCAGGCTTGCAGGGTGGCAGGGGAGCAGTGCTGGTGCATAACTTTAAAAAAATGTGTTATTAATTTTTAGTTAGTTTACAAAATAATAGGTCTCATTTGACATTTTCATATGTATTCATCATCTCATTTTGCTTGTAATTGCCCACTGCATGCAACTCTCAGTCTAGAAGGACCTCAGGCCACTGAGTGTTTGGGACACAGAAGGGTGCATGGGCTGCCACGAGATGTGTGGGTCCTTTGGAAAGGGTTCTGACTGTGTGGGAGGCTGAGAGCCCATACCCTAAGAATGCTACCTCTAAACTGAACTTGAAACATTGAACCTTGTGGGACAGAGGTGGAAGGCTCCAGAGTACAACCCTCAAGAGTGTGAAATGGTGAGGTGAGGGGTCAGGGATGCTTTAGAGGTTTCCAAGCAACAGTGCAGGACGAGGGGACGTGGTCAGATCTGTGAAGTGAGAGGTGACCCACTGCACAGGGATGTACGAGTGTCAGAGGGAACAGCAGGAGGCATGAGCCGTGCGTTAGGTGAAATGATGACAGTTAGGTGGAGCAGTAGGCCTCCCTGAGGAGAAAAGTTGGATGGGGTAAGGAGAGTGCTCAGGTTGTGAGTGACACCAAAAGTCAGTAGGCAAGAAAGAGGAGAGCAGCCTGTTCGAGAGCACACGTTGAGTGTGATGTTCTCGGAGATGTTTAAGTGTGGTGATCTGGGGGCAGGTTATGAGTGTGGAGGTTGGGTGAGGGCACTGAGTTTTGGAACTTCTAGGAGGAATTCTCTTTCTGGAGGTTCCTACTGAGCACCTGCTGAAGTCAGACTCATGTTAGGAGGACAGCCATGAGACAGGTAGACACAAATAGTTGTCCCTGTCGTATGAATGGGAGTAGGGGTAGGGGAAGTAGAGGGCATGGGCCTTTTAGAGAAGGCTATGTCTGAGTAAAGATCTGAGGCAGGTGAGGGTCAGCCGTGGAGGATCCTGGAGAAATGGAGTCCCAAGTAGAGGAATAACCTGGCTAAGACTGCAGGACAGAAGGCTGACTCTGTGAGACAAAGAGGAGGTCCATGTGGCTGGAGCAAGTGGAAACATTAAATGACAGAGCGGAGATGAGACACTTGGCACAGAGCAGAGCCACATCTGCTTCCATCCCTCTGGCTGTTGTGTGGGGAGCAGACTCAAGCAAGCGTGGCCAATGCAAGAGGCAAGAGATGGCAGTGGCTTGTGCCAGGGCAGTGACCATGATGTGGTGTGATAGGATCTGATGTATTTTGAAATAGAGACTGGGTGAGTGAGGGTGGAAAAAAAAAAAAAAAAAGAAGAACCCAGCCTGCCATCAAGGTTCTGGCCTGAGCAACCGGCACATAGTGATCCCCTGTCACCCGAAGGACGGAGGTGGGCAGAGAAGACAATTAACTATGTCAGACATTCCAGTGTGTGCTCAGGAAGGGGTGGGAGAGGGTAGGTCAGACATCTGGAAATATGGGGAGGTGTCTCAGGGGATTTAGGGAAACTCTCAAAGCATCAAGTCCCCAAGCTGAGAGCCCTAAGGGTCCCAGCTGTTCTGGAGACAGCCGGTCCATCTTCTTAGCACATTTTCCAGACTTCTTTTTTTTTTTTTTTAAAGATTTATTTATTAATTATGTATATAACATTCTGCCTCCGTGTATGCCCGCACGCCGGAAGAGGGCGCCAGATCTCATTACAGATGGTTGTGAGCCACCATGTGGTTGCTGGGAATTGAACTCAGGACCTCTGGAAGAGCAGCCAGTGCTCTTAACCACTGAGCCATCTCTCCAGCCCTTTCCAGACTTCTTCAGCCCAGCTGTCCCTTGCTGGGAGAGGGGTAGGAACATCTGTGTGCTCCCTGCCTGGGCAGGCAGAGGAAGGGCTCTAACTTGGGGCCCGGCCCTCCTCCAGGCTTGCTACGATTGGAAGAATTGGTACGAGGCTTTCTCATCTCTAAGGAGACACTGTCAGTGAGGATGCTGGATGACAGCCGGGACCCCACGCCGCTGCTCAAGGAGATCCGAGATGACAAAGTCTCTACCATCATCATTGATGCCAACGCGTCCATCTCCCACCTGGTCCTCCGTAAGGTGGGCCCCCTCTTGTTTCCACAGATACTTCAGTGGTGGGTTGTGGGTTTCATAGGGTCTGTCTGTTTTGTAGCTCCCTGGTCACATGACCCGGGATAGTCCCTTTCTTTTTCTGTGAAGTGCAGACAGCAGTAGGTCCTTCCTCTTTGGCTTGGGAGGGTAGTGAGCTTGCAGCAGAGAAAGTCCTTAGAGCCACATTGGCCCAGACTAAATGTCTGAGTCATCCCTCTTTAGGACTCTATTGTCACTGTGGTTTGTTTCTTTTTTAAAAGATTTATAATTTTTAATTATGTATATGTGTGCGGGGGTGTGTGCACGTAAGTGCTGGTGCCAGAGGTGTGGGTTTCCCCTGGAACTGGAGTTCCAGGTGGTTGTGAGCCATGTGGGTGCTGGGAATGGAACTTAGGTTCTCTGCAGGAGCACTACACACTCCGGGCGGCAGAGCCGTCTCTCCAGCCCGTTTGGGAGGTGAGCTCTCTGGGAGGGCAGTTCAGGTTGACCTTGGATGTGAGAACCTTAGGACTTGTCTTGGAGCTCCGTGTTGAGGGGTTCATGGACATCCTTGACTGGGGCTCTCCCGCACTGTGCAAGACTGATATTTTAACACCATATAGACAAAGAAGCTGGGGTTCTGGAGGCAAGGGCCCGGAGTTCCAGGACTTCTCCCCATGGACCCAGCACGTCCCATCCTTCAGTGAGCCGCACTCATTAATCATTCATTCACTTCCCCTGCGCTTAATTTTCCTTGATAATCAAATTTGTATTATTTTTTTCTCCATTTGCTTTTCATTTATTTTTCTCTTAATTAAAACCGTATGTCACTGCTGATCGTAGCCTGCAGGAAGAAGTGTTAAGCAGACTCTTGAGGATATAAAGGGCTGAGGGAAGAGGTTCTGGGTTGACAGGCCACCTGGGCAAAGAGCTCTGCCATGGAACGGTGTGCTTTGAGGTCTCTTCTCTCTTCCTTCTTGCCCTTCCCCAATACCCACGGGTCCATGCCCTGCTCCCACTCCCCCAATAATACGTGCTGGAGCCCTGTACTGTTAGAATTCTCATGTGGGGTTAGGTTGGGTATTATCCAACCTGTCCTCCTCAAGGATCGTGAGGAAGAGGGGATTCAAAGAATGAACCCCGAGATTCTAACTGATTGCCTTCCATTGCAGAAATCCTTTTTCTTCTCTCCTTTCCCTTCCTTCCCTCCCTCCTCTTTTCTTTTGATGTTTCTGGGAATTGAATCTGGGGCCTCATAACTGTTAGTCAAGGACTCTGCCAGTGAAGTTCGATCCTCAGTCTGTTTTTACTTTTCCTTTGAGCCAAGATCTTCAAGAGTTGCCCAGCGTGGCCTTAAGCTCACTCTGTAGCCCAGACAGGCTTTGCATTTACAGTCTCAGCGCCTTAAGCCATCTGAGTAGCTGGGATTACAGGCCCGTGCCCCCAGGCCTGGCAGCCGGCTGCTTCTCTGATGGATGGCCAAACAGACTGAGCTCTAAACACTGGCAACGCCAATGGTTTGGGTGACTTAGGGGTAAGGTTAAGGACTCTGTCCCTGCCTGTCCCCTCTCCCAGGCTCCCATTTGTCTCCATCAGGAAGTTTTGTGTGCCTTCATAGGAAACAGTAGACATCTGAGGGCCCCATTCTCTGCTAGGAAAGCTGTTTTCCCCGGCCAGCACGGGGGACACAACAGGCCCTCACTTGTCTCCTGCTCGCTCTTGCTGTCTGGGTTGTCTCCTCACCAGGCCTGCCTCTAAATCTCTCTTCCCCTCTTGGGGTCCCCCTTCCCTGTTCTCTGCCTCTTGGCTTCTGCTGTCTTCTTCAGGCTTCGGAGCTAGGAATGACCTCAGCGTTTTACAAGTACATCCTTACCACCATGGTGCGTACAGACCTATGCCCCTCCCAATCCCCGCCTGCCACACCTCCCTGCTGCAATTCTGCCTCAGGCCTCACCCCTATTCTTGGTCCCAGGACTTCCCTATCCTGCATCTGGAAGGTATAGTAGAGGACTCTTCCAACATCCTGGGCTTTTCCATGTTCAACACCTCCCATCCCTTCTACCCGGAGTTTGTGCGCAGTCTCAACATGTCCTGGAGAGAGAACTGTGAAGCCAGCACCTACCCCGGGCCTGCGGTGAGCATGTAGATACCCACTGGCACTAAGACACTGTGCACTGACTCTGGTGACAGGACCCTGTGGGACCCAAGACCTCGGTGAGGCGCTGTGATGAGTGTGGCCACCCAAGCCTCCCTCCACCTCTCAGGGCAGGCACGCCTCAGGGTGTTTGTACTCCCCACCTGCACCCCCATTTCCATGCAGACCCAACAGCTGCCCCCCCCCACAAAGCTTTTGCTCAGATGTCTCCTTGGCTGGAAGATCTCACTTGTACTTCCTATTTTATTTGTTTGTTTGGAGACAGGGTCTCACTACGTAGCTCTCAGCACCGCCTTCCCTTGCCTTTGTTCTAAAGCATGCCATCCCCATGACCCCCAGAGCTATGCTCAGGGTGGAGACAGCTCTTCCTCCATGCTGCAGTGGAGGGTTCTGAACCTCAGGAAGGGGTTGAGATGGCCAGGATCAACACTTAAACTCTCCTGTCTCCTCGCTCACTCCGTGTTCATCCTTTCCATACTGTGTGTAACCCAGGCACACACAGATGTTACCAGTGGCTGTCTTGCCTACTTATCTTAACCATGCAGACCTGGCTGTCTCAGGGAGACAACTGGCCATCGAGGCTAACTCCTCTCAAACAATCCAAGCATGGTGGCATGTGCCTATAATCCGTGCATTTGGGAGCTAGAGACAGAGGGATCAGGAGTTCAAGACCAGCCTCAGCTGGATATCGAGTTCCAGGCCAGCCTGGGCTACATGATGTCCTGTCTTATAAAACCAGAACAACAAAACAACAGACTCTCAGAAATGACCTTCTCCAAACAGACGTGGCCGTGTACAGCACGAGACAGTACACTTTCCCCAGAAAGACACCGTAGTCCATCCCGCATCCCTTACCCCACCTAAGTTTCCCACACCCTCAAGGACGGGCATCTGAGGGTTGGGGTGACTCCATGGGGGCTTTTGGGGGCTGACACTTTCTTGCCCGGCCTTGCCTTCTCCTTCACTCAGCTGTCTGCCGCCCTGATGTTTGACGCTGTGCATGTGGTGGTAAGCGCTGTCCGAGAGCTGAACCGAAGCCAGGAGATTGGCGTCAAGCCACTGGCCTGTACTTCGGCCAACATTTGGCCCCATGGGACCAGCCTCATGAACTACCTACGCATGGTGAGCCAGAAGCAAGGGGGCATGGAGGAGGTGGGGAGCAGCAGCCGCCTCAGGCAGGGGCAATGACTGTGTCTATCCTGTCTACCCTCTGCCTTTTCCCATCCTGACTCTCCACTACCTGGGCCTCCTCCTCATTCCTGTGTCCTGTCTGTCCATGCCACCGTCCCTGTCGGGGTTATGTGCTCTTTGGGTCTTGCTCCTCTGCTTTTGTTCTCTTGCATATGTATCGTCCTCTTGTCCTCTTTCTGACCCTGCCCCTTCTGTTCCTTTTACCTGTCTCTGCGCCTTTCCCTGTGGCTGCCTCATCCCTGCCTGGTTTTTCCGCCTATTTCTGGGCCCCGCCTCCTCTCCCTCTGCCCCGTCTCCCGCCCTGCTAGGTAGAGTATGATGGGCTGACCGGGCGGGTTGAGTTCAACAGCAAAGGGCAGAGGACCAACTACACACTGCGCATCCTAGAGAAGTCCCGCCAGGGCCACCGTGAGGTGAGCAGCCCCAGGGTGACACTAGAGCCCTGCTGGGATGTGGCCCATAAAGCTTCCAAAAATATGAACAGCGTTCATACTGATGATGTCTCCTCTGTCCCCAGATAGGGGTGTGGTACTCGAACAGGACCCTGGCCATGAAAGCCACTACCCTGGACATCAACCTGTCACAGACTCTAGCCAACAAGACACTGGTGGTCACGACTATCCTGGTGAGTGACCCAAATGGGGCCAGGGAGAGCAGGTGGAGAGGCCCTAGTGCTGGATCTTCCCTGAACATCTTTGACGCCTGTCATAACCCCTCAGGATGGGGAGGAGTCCCTCGGGCAGCAAAGGGCAGTGTAGTGTAACTGGGGGTGTGTCCTGTGCAGTCCAGACTGTGACCAAGGTGTCAACACTCCAGCCACAGCCAGAGTAAAGGAGGACACAGAGGACACAGGCCCTGCAGTGGGAACCAGGTTCTCTGATAGGTTCTCTTTAATGGCCATCGTACCACACTTGCCAGTTGAATGTGTCGACAGACACCAGTTTGTTGAATGTCCACCTTGAAAATGTGGACACCTAGGGTCAGAGAGGTGAATTAACAGCAAGTGTGTAGCAGAGCCAGGACTGGAAGCCTCGTCTCTAAGGGTGGAGTCTGAGTCTGTCCTTTGAAACTCTAGTCCTTGACTCTGAGCACCAAGCGAGGAGCCCATCCAGTGTCATGGGGAATCCCAGTCCCTATTTCGACTAAGTCAAGACGTGGGCCTGGTGTGTCAACAGTTGCTCTTGAGGAACTGGGATCTGTCTCAGTTGGTAGAGTGCTTGCCTAGCATGCACAAAGCTTGGGTCTGATACTTTGCACCACAGGCCCTACACTCAGGAAGTGGAGACAGGAGGATCAGGAGTTCAAGGCCAGCCTGGGGTACATAAAGTCCTGTCTCCAAAAAACAAAACAAAACGAAGTAATCTATTGGGAGCCACTGTGCACTAGACCCTTCCTGGGCATCATTCCTGATCTCGCAGTTGCTCCTTGATGAAGCTGGGAAACAAAAGTAAGGAAAGTCCCCTGCAAGTCCCTGTCTGGGCAGAGCATCCGACTGCGCCCGGCCCTCTCCATTGCGTTCTGCTGCCTCCTGCCAGCATGTCATGGAGGGGGTTACACACGGGGCCTGGTGGGCAGGAGCAGCTGGGCCTGGGGGCTGGACAAGCCAGGTGGCTTCACTCTTTGCAGCAGCCAAGTCCATGGCCTCCAGCCTGCTTTGTCCCACACCCGGCAGCACTGAGCCGGGTAGCTAATCGCTGTGACATGAAGTTCAGAGACAGTTTCCAGAGGGTGTTAGGAGCCCTTATTAGCAGCCCGTTCCCCAGGGAGCTTCTGACCTAAAGTGGACCTCAAATACCCATGGAGAACAGCCAGCTAGCCAGTTGTAGAGGGACAGATGGCTTGCAGACGGAAGCCAGACACCTCCTAATGGCCCCTCTGAGGGGCCTTGAGGCCTGGTTGACGGGGGCCTGTTGGAACCTATGTGTGCATTCTGCTCCATCCCTGATATGTCCTGGAATTGAAAGCCGTGAGGCCTTGGTGGGGAGCAGAGTTAGAGGTCAGGGAGAGGATTTCAGAAGAGTCCCCAAGGCCAGAGAACCAATATTATTCTTGATTCCTGGACTCCATTCTTTTTCTTAATTCCTTAAATATTTGCTGTAGCTGCTGTGTTCCCATCCAGGCCCAAATTCTAGAGACACAGAAACGAGTGAACAGGTGCTCTTAAGGGGCACTGAGGGGGCGGTGGCACCAACACCAGGGCACTCATTCCACACCAGGTCATGGAGGGGCTCCCCGAGATAAAGACAGACATAGGCTGGAGGAAGGGCTCACAGGCGAAGCACAGGAGTGCGGAGACCATAGGGCAGCAGGCCATTTGGATGTTTGTCAGGTTAGACAAACACCCTCATTGTGTGCAGCTGGACACTCCCATTGGGACATCAACACTTTCTCATTTATTATTTTACTATACTTTATTGTTGGGACAGCGTCTCCCTATGTAGCCCTGGCTGCCCTGGAACTATGGAAACCAGGCTGACCTCGAATTTACAGAGAGTCACCTGCCTCTGCCTCCCAAGCGCTGCCACGCCCTGCCGAATGCCTGGAGCAGGATCCCTAGCGAATGTGGCTGGCAGCAGTCCTGTGGCTGAGCACACTGCTGAGCCCTCAGTTTTCAGAGCCCTGAGCTCAGCACCTTCACGGAAACCATTTTCAGATGAGAAGGGAGGGTTCAGGGACGTGCTGAAGATGGCCTAGCCAGTGGTGACAGAGCTGATATGAGGTGACAGAATCCGTGTGTTTGTACCTTTCCACACCTTCCTGTCCTCGGAGTTGTGCTGTGGACCTGACACTGCCATCCACACCCCATGTGACCTAAGCAGCACTCCCTTCTATGCTTCTGGTTCCTTTACAGAGGGAAAAAGGGCTGGAGAGATGGCTCAGGGGTTAAGAGCACTGACTGCCCTACCTAGGATCCCAGTTCAGTTCCCAGCATCCACCTGGTCGTTAACAACTGTCTGTAACTCCAGTTCCCGGGCCTCTGGTGCCCTCTTCTGGCCTCTGAAGGCATTGCTATGTGTAGTACACAGGCATGCAGGCAGCCGAGACACCCAAACACATAAAATAACATTAACTTTAAAGGTAAAGGGATAAACTAGTGTGGTGGTGCACATGCATAATCCCAGCACTCTGAAGGCAGAGGCAGGCAGATCTCTGGGTTCCAGGACAGCCGGGACTACATAGAGAGAGCCTGTCTCAATAATAACAAAACAACAAAAAGTAAGAGCATAAAGTGCTCCTAACAGTGATCAGGGATTGGGTTAGGTCGGGATCCCATAAACCACACCCCCGGAATCCATGCACGTGGATTTGTGTGCTGGCTCAGTAAAAAACAAACAGCTTTTCAGGAATGGTCTAGAACCTTCCCTACTTTATTTTAGTTTAGTTTAATTTTTTTTTTAAAACTTTCAGGAGGTCATCTGTCCCTAACTTGTCTCCTGCTGGGGATCAAACTCAAGGGTCCCTCACTGGAGGATTCTAGGCAGGGGCTCTACCACTGAGCCACACCCCAGCCCCTCACTGGGGGATTCTAGGGCAGAAGCTCTACCTCTGAAGCATGCCCCAACTTCAAGAGAGTTTTACAAAAGTGTAAAAGTGTAACTTGCACATACATACTCTTGTGACTTACACAAATTATAAATCTTGTATCTCTGAATTTTCACAAAGCAAACACACTTGCCTAACCGACTCCCTGTCCTGACACTCTCTCCTCCAGTCACTAGCCTCCCTCCTTTGTACACAGAAACGGTGTTAGACTGTGTGGTGTCACACCTGATGCCTTTTCCCTGGTGTCTTTGTAAGATCCACGTGGTTTTGTGGCGTTCAGTCTCATGACAGTTGACGTACCCGTCAAATGTAGGTGGGCACTGGTTCTTGTTGTTATGAGTCATTGCACCGAGAAGATTGTTTCGTGTAACTTTCCTGACCTTGCTTTGATGCTTCCATGGGTGTGTTCTGTGGAGTGGGGATGCTGTGTCATGCGTGTCTTGAGTTTTAGCAGAGGCCACAAGCCTTTGCCAAAATGGCTGCCCCGCTCGCCTTCTCCCCGCAGTGTGTGACTGAGCGGCCCATCATTCTCCATTTCCCCTGGTGACAGTACATAAAGGTGCCACCACCGACGACAACAGCATGGTGCCTTTGTTTGCCTTTGACCATCTTTGTGTGTCGATTGGCTGTCTGAAAAATCCTCTTCGGGGCTGTGTTTTGAGATATTGGAGCTTAAGAAGTGGGTGCACAACTGTAATCCTAGAATTGAGAGGTGGAAGCAGGATGATTTGAGTTCCAGGCCAGCCTGGGCCTCATAGTGAGACCCCATCTCCAAAAAAAAAAAACAAGGGCTGGGGATGTGGCTTAGTGGTAAAGCACCTGTCGTGTGTCTGGAATGCCCTGGGCTCAACCCCAGTATGCCCCCAAAGGGGGTCTGTATGACCTTTACGTTAATTTTGGGATTCAACTTTCTGGAGACGTGTCCTTTGCCTGAAACCATGCATCACGGACATCTCCCCTCCCTTTGTGAGTCACCTTGCCTATTTTCTAAAAAGTTTTCTTCTTTTTTTTTAAATTTTATGTGCATGGGTGTTGTGCCCGCTCACATGTATGTCTGTGTGAGGGTGTCAGATCCCCTGGAACTGGAGTTACAGTTATGAGCTGCCATGTGGCTGCTGGGAATTGAACCTGGGTCCTTTGGAAAAGCAGCCCATGCTCTTATCCCCTGAGCCATCTCTCCAGATCCTAAAATGATTTATTTATTATGCTTAAATTTATTTTATTTTTATGATCTTATGTGTGCCTTAGTTAGGTTTCTGCTGCTGTGGTAGAACACCTTGATCAAGAGCATCTTGGTGAAGAAAGGGTTTAATCTTACAGCTTGTACATCTTGCAGGGAAGTGAGACAGGAACGTGGACGCAGGGTCTGATGGAGGTCATGGAGGATTGATGTTCAGTGGCACGCACTCCATGGCATATTTAGTGTGTTTTCTTACAATGCCTGGGTCCTCCAGCCCAGGGATGGCACCACCCACAGTGAGCTGAGTCCTCCTACATCCACTGCTAATTAAGAAAATGCCCTCCAGGCTTGCCTACAGCCCAATTTTATGGAGACATTTTCTCCATTGAGACTCCCTCCTGTCAGATGACTCCGGCTGGTGTCAGTTGACGTAAGAACTAGCCAGCACAGTGCATATGGGTATTTTGCCCTCGTGTATGTCTGGTTCCTAAAGAGGCTAGAGCAGAGTGTCAGAGCCTCTGAGACCAGAGTTACAGGTGGTTGTGAGTTACCGTGCGGGGCTGAGAATCAGACTCTTGCCTGTGAAAGAGCAGCGCAGAGCGAGCAATTGCTCCAGTCCAACCTTTTTATTCTTAGTTGAACATTTTGATAAAAAGATCTCAAGCTGGGCCAGCAAGTAAAGCACTTGCCACACAAGCCTGATGACCCGAGTTCATACCCAGAGCCCACCTAATGGGGGCAGAGAAGGACCAACTCCACAGAGATGTCCTCTGACTTCCATGCGTGTGCATCATGTGCACACACATTTGACAGTAATTAATAATAAAAACATAAGGTTTGGAGCCAGGACTGTGACCCCAGCTACTCTGAAGAAAGGCAAGAGGATCATAAGTAGCCTGCAG